AAATGTCCTCACAACCGGTTGATGTTATAATTCTTCCAGAAAATAAGCTTGCTGTGACATTGGAAAGTGAAAAGTGTATTCAGATAATGTCTTATACTGATGTAGATCTTTCATCAGATCGACGTATAGATGTTAAAGAACTTTGCAACGGGATAGCTTATTGTCAATATAAGTTTGTTGTCACTTGCTGGTCATCTAAAAAAAATAATCATTATCAATCTTTGAAGGTTGTATTCTGAAAGTTTTACGCTCTCCTGCTATGTTTATTGGGCCTAGCAGAGTTTTGATCAGCAAGGATGAGAAGTTTCTATATGTAACAGACAGAGATTTGAGGTCTAACAGCAGTGTTATGAAAATTGATTTGGAAGGAAATCTTATTAGCGTTTTTAAAGAGTCAGGATATGCTGTTTCCTTATGGTCTGCAACAATTAGAAGACGAGACAATACTTGTGTGTTTTCAAGACAGAGGAACTGTCCTGAGACTAACAAACAGCTTAAAGAGATGTGTGACATTATTGGACCAGAGAAGGAAAATATTTATCGCCCATAAGCTATAACATACTGTAATATATATCACAAACTTTATGTAAGTTGTTCTTCAGAGAAAGGGAAACAAAACGCTGATATTGTGAAAAATATTCAATGTTAAGTGGATCTGAACTTTACAAGGGAATATTACGTCATCAAATCACAATATATCTTAATTATGGCAAGGAATTTCAATTATTAATTGCTTTTTGGAAAAAAGAGTTACTAGTATATTATCTTTCCCACTACATCTTGGGACCCTAAAATTACACTGTGTCGCCCGAGAACAAATGTCTCTTAGAGGTACAAAATTTTTTTTCATATATGAAGGGCACTAGTTATTAGCAAGTTTAAAAACATGATTAAGACGTAATTGCTTATTTCTGTTTTCTTCATTTAATAAAGACATATTAGCGAGAATAACATTATTGACACTATCTCTAGGTCCCATGCCTTGAATAAATCTAACAATTTTATTTTGACAAATTTGAAGCCTACTTTTAAAACACTTGTTCAGACTCATGTATCAAGAAGTATATGTAAAATCGAGGTGACACTGAATTAGTGCTGAGAATAAATATTTTCTAGTCCTAGAATATATAACATTCCTATACACAAATTTAAGACGTGAATCTACCTTTGTGAAAATACTATTAACAATAGATTCATGGGGTATAGACAAAGAATAATAAATATTTAAACCTAGATATTGATTTTGTGGATTCAATATTTTGTGGTAATATGTCCATTACAATTTTACATTTTTTTATAAAAGAATTGGGACATATTGCAAAAGTATGCAATTTATTTTCTTACTCAATAAAAAAGTAAATATATCACCCTATAGTTTATAAATATTTTATTAAACTTTATTTAAAGAAAGTTAATACCTGTTGGTTATAAAATTGCGATAGATTTTGCTATGGTTGCTGCGAACATCTAAGTCGTAATGCACAAAGTAGTGCACAAACTATTCTAAAACTTTCAAATGAATATCAGATGAAACGGAAGATACTAAATCAAAATAATATATTGCCTAAAAACTACAAGTAAAGGTATGAAAAAACATGCCATGTAAAGATCTCAAGGTGTCCTCACACTTGAGCGAATCTATTAAAAGTAGCCTTGAGAATTGGATAAAGTTGTTAATTCTGGCAAAGTAAGGCTGAAAACTGTTAGAAATATTTCAACTACGGTAAACGGGAACTATTTGTTGCGAACGCTTTCCGAAATTTAGGTAACTATTTCCATTATTTGCTTTGAATACATGAGATCGCGCAGTCAGTGTTCTTTCCTTGGTGATGAGGAGCGCGAATATACGACCATACGCAATAATTTGCTTTTAAACTGGTCAGATACACATATGATCCAAAAAAAAGTTATGAAAACTGATTGGGAAAAAAATGTTAAATCTATTTTTGAAGAACCAGTATGTAAAGTTTATTACTGTCTACATATGAAAGGATTCTGATGTGTAACAAAAAATTGACGATCTCCCGACACTGTTGAGCAGCTTAAAATACGTGACATACTCATTATTCTTAAGCATACTGTGATAGAGAACATTAATTGTACGCTAGTTGCTTAATAGAGAAAATATGGAAAGCTATTTTTTAAAATACTCTGGGGAAAAATGAATTTAAAATTTCACGGGAATTTTGGGTCTTTACCCCTTTTTTTCATTAAAAAAATTACGGGAAAATTTACTCAAAAATTTAAAGCCTTTTCACAAAAAATGATTTTTGTAGAAAAAAAAGTTTTTCAGGAAAAATTTTCTATTAAGAGGGGAAAATCACAAAATTTTTTTTCTGTTTTTAAAAGACATTTTGGGGAAGTTTTTAATTCTTAACTATCAAAATTCTGAAACCAAAAAACTTTCCCTTTTTCCACGATTATAATCCCGAGGGCCGTTTTTTTTAGTCTAAACCGGTAAATGGGGTAATGCTCAAATTTTTCCCTTTTGTTTTTTAAGGCCCTTTCAATTAAAAAATGGATTTTTCCCAAATTAAAAAGCGAGGCAAACATGTTTATTGAGGCATGTTAAAGGCCATATTACCAAAAACCTCAATCTTTAGAACTAAATGCTAAAGTGTCATCAACTGACTATATCCTGTGCCGTTTTATAATTCTAAATCAAATTGTGCTAATGCTATCATGTATAATATGCGTTCTGAAATGGTCATTGTAAGGTTTCTGTACTGAACACAAGGAATCCTTCTATTGTAAAAGGTATAAAAAAAAACAAATTTAAAAAAGATATGAAATCATTTTAGCTGTATTTCTGTAACTAATTGGTTGGCAAACTAAGCGACCATTTTGAATGGCTATGGCATTATCTTAGGTTAAGATAAGATATAATGAATGCATAATTTACAAAAACTTAACATGAATAATATTTAATTAACTGGCTATTACCTTATTTCTTTGAATAGATTGTCTTCAAACTAAGATACAGCAATGTTTTAGATACGAATTGATAATAACACAAAATGATCTTCTGCTGATGCCTTAAACTAGCTGAACTCATATTTGTTTATTGCAAATAAACATGTATGGAACTGCCTTTTTATTTATTATCTATTTTATGTCAAGAAATTTAAATTCATAGTCGACCATACATGCTTTGTCTTTATATACTAGCGCTCGTCTGCATTCTTTCAATTTTCTTGATTACATTTAAGAAATTTAAATCAAAGGATAAAACTACAATATATTGTTATGATGCTTTACAGTAACGTACGTCACGATTTATTGCATTTAATTGCGCAATGTCATTTAGCAACGCAAAATCTGTGAAAGAGAAAATTCTTCAATTAAAGATTTTATGCATCACTCGAACTCAATATATTATGTTTTTTATAAAATATAAAACATCTTTAAAACTGTACTACTGTCTGAATGACCGAAGGTCAGTTATTACTAGAACACCATTGAATGAATATACATAAGTTTTATTCTAACCACTAAAACATATGTTTACATGTTAAAGCATTTTCAGAGAGACAAGAAGTCTACACTGAGTTAAACCTACGTGACTAGAGAGCATGCCATATAACACAACAGAAATTTACAATATTTATTTTAAAGCTGCATGCCTCCAAATAAGCCAAAATATTTCAAGAAAATCAAACTTGAAAAAATGTACTAAAATTTAAAGAAAAGCAAAAAGATTAAAGCTAAAAGTATTAATTTCCATGTAATGTGAGATAAATAACTGTTTTTGCAGTATCTACTGCTTTTTAGCCCAATAAATTTTGAAAGGGCGCGACAAAGATATTGGGGCTATTTTCGGGGTCTGGGCAAATCTCCCCAAAACAACCCCCAAATTTACCCAAGCCATAGGGCTTCTTTTGTTTTTAAGGGATAAATGGTACATTAAAAGGTTTTTTTCGAAACAAAGGGAAAAATGGGCCCGCTCATAAGAGTTTTTTTTTTTTAAAAACTGTTGGGAAATAAAAAAAATAATGCAAAAATTTTCCCTTTAAAAAAAAAAAAATTTTAAAGGAAATGACTTTTTGAAAACAAAATTTTGGGCAAGGTTGCTTTTTTAATACCCCGAAAAGTTTTGCTAACTTTAAATTTAAAAACCACAGATTTTAACATAAATCCTTGATTATATAACAGTAAATATACGGGTTTGGTGAAAATAAAAAATTTTAATAAAATAAAAGTTATTTGTTTATCCTTTAATAAACATGTTTATAAAAAAGAGGACTAAATTAAAAGTTTCCCCGCATCATTTTAATGATTCCAATCAGTTAGAAAAAAATATTTAAAGATTATTTCCTGGCGATTTATTTTTAATGTAGTAATAAATAAAATTAATAATAACAACATTAAAAAATAATAATTAACATTTTTTAATAGTTTTTCATATTTTTTTAGCCACGCAAAAAAAAAAAAAGATAAAACAACACACACGGTACCGAACAATATCGATTTTAGCGTACATGTTACATTACTGTAGCAACATCACAATATGGCGGCGTTGGTACACAAATGAGACCGTTAAATGAAACTAACGTGGTTTACTTTCTTCTAAGTTGATAGTCTGGCACTTTTTGTGCTGTTACTTCCTAAAAATTGTTTTGTTGAATAAATTCTTAGTTTAAATTATCTGCATTTTCACATTTACATCGAAATTCAGGTTTCACCACAGAAAGGTCTCCTTTTGGTTTTGACGTTAAAGCGAGATTCTGTCCTAGAACGAAAATATCTCAGAATCAAGCTTTGGCACGTCAATGTATTTTGACTACTACTGCGTTAATAACACATTTGCACATTTTATCCTCACATGGGTTAAAATTGCCGTTTGCAATGTGTAACTTATTTTCTTTCTTCAATTCACAATACTTTACTTATAAATACATGAATCTGGAGGCGTGCTGCTTTAAAATAGATACAGTAGATAATGCAATGTTCAATAAGAGTGCATTCCCCTGTTACGTTCTTTTGAACTTCCGCGTTCCAACATAAGACTATTTATTACAAGGTAAGAAATTTAGATTAATTTAAAATTAATATTATATCAAATCAAATTTTATGAGTATACTAACAAAATAGATTTTATTACATGATGTATTTGTCGTCATAATGATAAAAAGGTATATTTGAAGTGTTCAAGACAAGTCACATACCACAACTTTTTGTTTTGTTCCTTTTTTATATTTTCATTTTATCTTTCTAAATTATAAACCATATCGAGGTAAAAATCAAAGCAAATTAACAATTTGCGAAATTTTGCTAATTGTGATAAATGTTTATAAATTTGCTACATAAAATATTGAACAAGTCACGTGACAATAAATATTTTACTTAACGACACTGATACTAACTCCTAGCGTAGCGGGTCAAAAATCACTGTGCGGAGCTTGACACAGATAATCTATCAGGTAACTGAAACATTTGCCAATCGGTTAATAATAGTTTTTAACTTGTTTTTCTTTTCTTGTTTAAACACTCATTGTATCTTTGTTTGAAGGATAATTAAATGATATTTTCCCTTTTATATTTAATCAAAATATAAAATAACCGTACAAAATTAAACTATAGATTTGACAGTTTAAGGACTTTTCACTAGTATTTTCCCTATACCTCCAGACAACTGGTATAAAGAGTTTCAATCTTTTTGATATTTGATGTGAGTAAGCAACGGTTTACGATTGAATTTTGTCTAAATTTTGAGTAATCTAATGAAACAACACATGTCTATCTCAAAGTAAATACAACCAAAGTTTTTCTTAAAATGATGGAATTACATGCAAATGGTTAAATACTGACGAAAAGTTAAAGTTATAGTACATGAAACGAGTTAGTTACGAGGATATAACACTGACTGGGCGTTACCCAGAAAATGACACTTAGCAAATTATTTTGGCTATGACCCTGAAATGATGCATTTCTATGATCGAGGCACACAATACACTTAAAGTATTGAATATACCATTAAACATGTTCTTACACGATGCCTAAAATAAAAAGACATTTGTAATAATAATAAAATGTGCATATGTAATGACAAAATAGGAAAATATTCCAACATTGACAAATGTACTTGTCGCAACGCTTCGGTAATTGACTATTGTACTTCAAGCGTTCATTTATAAAAAAAAAATTCTCGATTTTGAAATCATCGAAGTAGACAGTCTGTATTCCGACAGCCATTGACTTTTATCAACAACGTTAAATATTATGAAGATAGCCCGAATTAATGAATTTAAAAAACGAAGAAAGCGTTCGCCAATCATGGCATATAAAATGGCAAAGTAACAAAAGTCATTAATTTATATCGAATTTAGACAATTCTGATATGAATGAAATCAAAATATTATTAGAAAATTATACAGCGACAACACAAACAATAATTTTAATATGGTACTTCAGTTGTTTATGGTTAAAACTTTTCACTCAAAATCACATCTCAATTATAATAACCCGTGTCTGAAACAAAACAAAAATAGAAAGCACACTAAACAAATTGTGATTCGGTCCTATATTTAGGAACGCTTGCATAAAGTACAATCTAGCTCGACTACGGAATAATAAAATGAAATCAGACATTAATAAATTAAACCTAAAGGCATCTAGCAAAAACTAAAAAATATTTTCACAATGAGAAATACCCCCCCCCCCCCCCCTCTATTGATATGTATGATTACTTCAAAAATATGAATTCGTCTGGCGAAAATGTGGCTAACGAATTGCCGCCCAATTTCATATTAAATGACATTGATGAAATTCTTAATATGCCAATAACAAAGGAAGAAATTGAAAAAGGAAATGATCTAAAATCAAACACTGGCAATTAAACTCCATCAGAAGACATGATATTTAATAAATATCTAAAAAGCTCAAAATGTTTAATGATACATATCTATGAATTGTTTTTAATAAAGTTTTAGATACAGGAATATTTGCTGACAGCTGGCTTGCAGGTACAATTAAACCGATTTTTAAAAATAAAGGTTATCATGTATGAACATATTAAATCGTGTATATTAATATATAACGATAAATCAGCATTTTTACAATCGTAAAAGTCGTCGCCAGGGGGATCATTTATCTTCCCTGATAATTAGTATTTACCTTAATGACCTTGAACATTTTTAATGGCACGCGGTATTGAAGTAATTGGGGTAAAAGCTAATGAAACCCACTTTCTATTTAAAATTGCAATCTTATTGTACGCAGACGATACCGTTAAAAATTCTCTCCAAAAAGCAATAAACGATTTCAATGACTATTGTAAGTACTGAAAGCTAGAAATAATACAGAAAAAATGTTATGATATTTAGCATAAGAAAAATACGCTATTTTATTTGGAAATACATACTTCTTAAGAACAATCACCAAAAACTCAAAAAAGTACCCCGCTCTTTATACTATATGTGCGAGCTTGGCCGTTACCTATCGAAATTACAATCAAATTAAGAATGGTATCCTTCTGGAACAAACTTGTTTCTCAGAAAAATACTAAATAATCATCACTGTGTTAGGAGGTCATGCTTTATTCAAATAACTTTAAATTATTTTAATTATTTAAATGGATGAAACAAAATAATTACATTACAATACTGGTTACTCTTACCTGTGGCTACAACCAAGTTCTTTGTCGAGCAATAACATAGTTAAAATGATCAAAGAAAACTTAGTAAATCAATTCATTCACAAATGGTTATCAGATTTGACAATATCAAATAAAGGTAAAATAATGCCCTTTTTCAAAGGAATTTGAATTTTAAAACTACTTAAAGATATTACCGTGATATAAAAAATAATAAGATTCTAAAATTTAGGACATTAAGCCATAAATTATGAGTTGTAACCTTGCGATCCAAAACCAGACGCATTGAATACAGTGAAAGAAAATGCTTAAAATGCATCTCCGATATAGGAGATGATTTCCATACCTTCTTCGATGTAAATATTATAAGCACCCCCCCCCCCCAAAAAAAAAAAAAATCTAAAAATAATTCATTATGAAAGACCAGATATAATGAAATACTGTGAGCTAATGAACACAACTAATGAGACAACTCTTCTAGCACTGTATAATCTAATATCAGTTATCTTTAAATCAACTTGAGATTAAGATATACTCAATAAACCTATGTCAGTTGTCATTATTATAGTAATATTGGCTATTTGTTTAGATGATAGATATATTTTATCGCGCTTTATATTGGCGTGATGATGGGATAGTAAATATCAAAAGTTACAAAATATATTTAAGATTTAAATTTTATGAAAATTAATAGAGTAAATCTGTGAAACAACGAATTCATTCTTCAGTTGATATGTACGGTTGTACAGCAGAAATTTATTGAACTGATAGTGTTCAACATAAATTAGTAGGTTAATGATAATCTCATAAAATGTATAAATGATTACTAATTTATGTGATTTTGAAACAAATATTAATATAAATAAATACTTTTTATGTAATATTTTTAGGCTGGGATGGAGGTTCCTGGGAAATTAGATCTAGGAGCTGTAAATGCCGATGACTCGACATTAGTGTGTCTCCCGTGTGAAATTGATGGTTTGAAGGAACCAGCTTATGGCTTCTGTCAGGACTGCCAAGAGCATCTATGTGAAACATGCTTCAAACATCACAGACGGCCACGACCAATGAGAAATCATGTCCTTGTTGACCAAGAATCCATGCCAAAGACCCAGGTAAATGCACCTACAGCATCTGACATGTCTGGGGATACGGCCGATTTTTGCAAGAAACACCAAGACAAACCACTAGAATTTTATTGTCGGGATCATACATCTGTGGCTTGTTATGTGTGCGTTACATTAGAACACAAACAGTGTAAGGTGGACTATATTCCTGATGTTTCTGGAAACCTGTCTGATGAGATGACCGATATATTAGAACAAATGCAAGCATTGATAACAAAATGTCAATCAAACATAGAATATGTTAGCAAAGCTGCGCAAAATCTAGACCAGAGTCATGCGAAAGTTGTTGAAGATATTAAAGTCTTCAGGAAAGAGATAAATGAATGTTTGGACAGAATGGAAACCAGAATATTAAAGGAAGCTGACACGATAGTAAAAGAAGCAAAGTGTAGTCAGGAAACCGTAAAATCTGCTCTCTTGGAGATAACTGAAGAACTTGAATGTTCACATTCGTTGTTAAGGTCATTACAAGAACAGAACAAGCAAAATAAGCTTTTTATCGAGATTAATAACGTCGGAAAAAGTCTGCCAATACTGACAGATAAGAAAAAGGACGTATTGCATGCAAATACAACAAAGAAATGTATTCAATTTAACCGTAACGCAAGCATTATGGATTTTCTTAAGACCGAGAAAAATTATGGAACATTGTCAACATTTGTATTACCATGCCCAGATAGAGCAATATATTTACAATATATGGATACAGTAGACATGAAACAGACATCAGAAAAAGAAATAAGTCACATTTATGGTATGGTAATGATTGCTCCTACGAAAATGGTTGTTGCTGATAATAAAAACGAAAATATAAAACTGATCGACGTTGAGAAAAAAGAGGTTGTAACAGAGGTAAAGATGTGTTCATATCCGTTGGATGTTACAACTCTTCCAGACAAAAAGCTTGCTGTAACTTTGTTCAATGAAACGTTTGTTCAGATATTGTCTTATTCTGACGCGAAACTTTCATTAGATCAACGTATATATGTAAGAGAAACATGCACTGGTGTTGCTTATGGCCAGGATAAATTGGTTGTATCTTGCTGGGGATCAAAGAAAATAATCATTTTGAATCTTCAAGGAAAAATTCTCAATGTTCTTGGTTCTCCTGCTATATTCTATGGGCCTGTTACAGTTTTGATCAGCAAGGATGAAACGTTCATATATGTATCGGATGCAGATTGGAGTCAAAATAGCAAGGTTTTGAAAATGGATTGGAAAGGAAATATTAAAACCGTTTATGAAGAATCAATATATAAATCACCTTACGGTCAAAAACAATTAGATGATGAGACTATAGTAGTGTGTTACAGATACAGTAACACTATTCTGAGACTGACAAGCAGCTTAAAAAAATGTGATATTATTGGACTAGAGAAAACAAATATTTATTGCCCAACAGCTGTGACATACTGTGACAGAGAACAAAAACTGTACGTAAGTTGTTCATCAGAGAAAAACAAAATTCAGGCTGATATTGTTAAAGTATTCCATGTGAAGTGGATATAAACATTACAAAAGAATATGCCATCATAAAAAAACTCTTTATAGAATTTATATTTTCTTTTCTTCGTAAACTGATACCTGATGCGTTTGCAGCATCAGGTTATGTTTAGTGGGGAATTTAACAGGTTTCATGCATAATTCGGTCCATTATAGAGCAATGAGTTTTTCCTTAGCATTGGCAAGTGCATTCCAAATGTTATTGTACAAGGTGAAATTGGCTAGAATCATTATTGATGGAAAACAGTTTGTTATCTTTTGAAGTCGTTGTTTGAATTTTGATAGTTAAAGAGGAAATAAATCTGTATTTGTATGGAATTTGAATAAAGGCAATATATTGTAATAGATTTTTATTGTCAGAGACAAGTTTAGTTCGTAAGGAATTAAATGTACACTCAATTGTAGTTTTCGTGAAAGAAATTGATAGAACAACTTACTGATGCTTTCAATGCTTTATATGAATGTCAAACAGCTCAGTAATATATTCATTTGCAGAGAGTCACAGGTGTGAGTGGTGTGAGTGGAAGTCAAATAAGCTTAGAACATATATAACTTTTAAAGATACTTATGCTGTTGAAC